ATGATACCGGCTAAGCAGAGCCTTGACTGCAAATGCACATCGCCACCCCACATACTTACAGACCCACATCAGCGTCGCGCTGTCGTTCACAACTTCTTGACACTGCTGTGACGGCAGCAGCGTCGAAGCGCTGCTGCCGTTCCGTTCATAGCAGTGCTCGACGCTACTGTGACGGGCAGTCGCACGAAGGGAACAGGGGGGAAATGGGGAGAAGGGGGTTGCTGTGGATGGAGGGAGAAAGGGGGGGAAAGGGGGAGGAGGAGACGACGGAGAAGGGGCATGAGGGAGAGGGTGAAGGAGAGGAGGAGGAGAAGAGAGGCGTCGGCCACGATAATGAAGGGAGGAGAGACGGGTTTTGTCAATTTAGGGTTTGGGATTTTGAAATTTGGTGGGTGGGTAATAGGGTGGGTGTAATTTAATTTTATAATATCATAATTAATCAAAATAATAAAAACCTAAAAATTGAATAAATAAAGTTGAAACCTGATTTTTTAAAGTGTCAAACATAATGCATGGTTCAGTGTAATTACCACTTGAACTAAAGAGTAGACAACTAATGGGCTTGGGGGCATTGAAGCTTAAATTATAAGATCCATTCAATAATCTAGATAACTTCAATTACCCGTGCTCATCAATACTAAACTAACTCAATATGATGAGCTAAACTGAGTTGGACAATAGTCGAGAACTAATGATCTTAGCTTACTGGAACTTGAATTATGAGTGTCGATTCAAACTTGTACATAGTTATACCTAATTATGGATAATTCATTCCTTGTTTGGTCCCAATTATTTTTCAAATATATATATTTCTCTATTTTATTTTTAACAATACATTATTTAATAAAATAATATTACACGCAAACTAATATTTTTAACAACACATTCTTTAATAAAATAATATTACACATTCTTTAATGTGTTGTTAATAAAATAACAACACATTCTTTAATATTCTTTAAGAATCAAGTCCACACGTAGGAGATTAAATTGGAACTCAATGATACTTCTAAAGAATTGGATTACTCCTTTTAATAAGGTTGACCTTTTAAGATGGAACCACAATTCTTAATATGGTATCAGAGCTCATTAAACTCTATCAAGCAATTTGATCCGGTTAAGACTCCAAAAGTGAGTATACGAATTTCAAGATTGGTATGCTAAAACGAGCAACTATATCGCGAGTGCATGTTAAGGGATATGATTCCATATCGAATAAAGATGTAAACATAAACCAACTTATAGAGAATTAGGTTACTCCTCTTTAACAATGTTGATTTTTTAAGATGGAACTCCAATTTTTAACAACTTCATTTTCATTTTCTTAACAACTTCATTCCTATAAAGAGAGATTTGCTATCATTTTCACACGGATTAAGTCCATGTTTGACAAATATTATTTCAAAACTTTTTAATTCTCATACTCATTTTCAAGTATATATTTATGCAATAAAATATTTTGTATGTAAACATAAAACTTTTTCTTATTTTTTTAATCACATATTCTATGCAAAATCACAGTTCAAAACTCAATTTTCTCAAAATAATGACCATCAATCATTTGACCTCCATTATTCCCTATTAAATTATAATTCATTTCCCTCTCTCTTCTTATCAACCGCAAATTTTCAATAAAATAATATTATACATAAATTCAATTTTTTTAGGGTTGTGCTATGGGTACATAGCATAATACATAAGAGTGTCCACAATGAACACGTGGAAATCCCTTATTGGAGTGGTGCCTGGGCCCTCAGGCACCTCCCCAATAGAGAGCCTCCATGTGTCCATTATGGAACATGCTATGTACACATAGCATTTACTTTTTTTTTTAATCATATATTCTTTTAAAAATTATTATTCCTTTTATTATAACGTGGAATAATGGGGGACACATTTTTCTTAAGACACCCCACATTAAATAATAATATTTTAAATAAGAGTAGTTCATACTTGTTAACAAAACACATTCAATATAGATATACTAGAAAACTTCTTCAACTATATTCTCAACAAAAAATTACTGCCTATAATTTAGGATATGCAAAGAAGAAAAATAATTTTTTTTGTTCCATGCAGTGAGTAATAATTTTTAAGAGATTGCGTGCTGTATCCATCACAAAAGGCATACACGCTTCAATTCTTATTTTCTCCCATCTAATCTCAACTCCAAAAGGCATCCATGCTGCCACCCCGTCACAGTGCCTCTTTGGCACTATTTTTAATCCATTAAGCCCATGTTTGAAAACCATATTTGGATAAAACGAAGTTCTGAATATTTATTTTTTAGAGACCGTGTTGTTAGAAAGTAAGAATTTTTTTTTGAATTTACGTGCAAAATATTTTATTATGTGAATGTGTGATTGAAAATGAATATTTAAAAAAATAATTAAAATAATGATTGTCAAACTGGGCTTTATATTTCAATCACGCTACATGTACATTATCCTTCATATCATTCGTTACATTTTACTAACATGTGACAATATATAATTGAATAATTTTAAAAAATAAATAATTTTTTTTCCAATCCTTTTTTACTAACACGTCAAATATCAAATTAAATGAGCCTGCGTCTAGCATTTTTGTTTATATTTTGAGTGGAACCTGTAGCCTACATTAATAAACTAATTTCTCCATGAATTAGAAAAGTAGCCAGCCTGTGCTGACGAATCCAATTGACAAATTTGAAATATCACGTGCTCTTTCGGTGTCAGACCATGCACCTCGAGCATCGTGCTTAAAGTAGACTCATTTTCAATTTCATTAGTCAAAAAGATTAGGGTAATCATATTCCTATCATGCACCTTCTCTTGTAGAAGTCTCAACGAATTTGAACAGGTACAACTCCCTCTTAAATTTTATTTAGCACTTATTTAATTTTTATTATTTTCAAAATATATTTTTCGTTCTTTAATTTTCAACCACATAATTTTTAGTAAAATAATATTATATGCATACTCAAATTTCTCTTTTTTTAACCACGTATTTTCTATCAAATCACTGTTCAAAAATTCATTTTTTGCAAAAAAAAAAAAAAAAAAAGAGCTCAAACAGGCTCTAATCATCTTTTACTGTTATAACATTTTTGGAAAGCATTTATAAATAATTGTATTCATAAATAGGTAGAAGTGATAAATAAGTAAATAGTACCTATGAGACTCATAAAATGTGGATGAAAAATAATTTAATTGCTAATAAATATGTACCATAAATAGGCTAAGAGTTCAAATTGGGGTTACATAAGAGATGAATTTAAGATTTATAATAAAAATTGAGTTTTTTTTAGTCCAAGTACAAGTTTGAGAAGTAGAGAACTAAGAGAAGTAATGAAATTATAATATAATTTTATTTGAATATTTTGTATGATCCACAACTTCTACCACTTACAATGCACATGTATAGTAGAACCTTGCAAGTCGCAACTTGTAATTACTTAGAATAATGCTATCTATCATACTAATGGCCAAACTAAGTATCAATAAAGTGGAGTTAAATAATTGTAGTAGGAGGTCCTATTTTAAGATGTTAGATTATTTAATTGACATTTAGATGGTTGACTAACTATAATTTGGATAAATAATATTACTCAATCACTTAAATTAATTTGATTGTTTCCAAAAAAAAAAATTGTATGCTAAATTTACATTTGCCTGACATATAATCGAAGAATAATGCCCTATGTGCAGAAAAATGGTTCACCGGGGTCTTACAGGCCCCTCACAACGAGCAGGTCCCACATGTATTTAAAAAAAATTAATGCGGACCCCACCTATGTCTTGCCTAGCAGGACCTGATGTAGAGCAAGCGAGATTCATGGTCGAATAAAAGCTAATTGGTGGTCCTTCAAAATTTACTGTAAAGTACCACAACAACTAGATTGCCAAGTCAACACAACTGCCCTCCTAATTTCAAATTCATCTTTTTTCTTTATTTAAATACAACAAATTGCATATGGATTACTTTTTCTTTAAGTCAATCTTTATTGATAACTATACTCCACATATTTTCTCCTCTCAGAAGGAGAAAAAAATTACAAATTTTTTTTTTTAAAAAAAAACATAGAATTCTTTTAAAAAGTTGTAAGTTTGGTGCTCGTGGTTTCAAATTTTATGATTTCCTGCCACGAGTGAGAGCGTAGTGAACTATCATCTATAAAATAAATAAAAAATCTCGATATTTTCAAGAACAAATACAATCGAGAACGAGAAGTGTTTGGACTAGTAATTTGAAAATTAGAGCATGTCCCTATGATCACGTCATTGAATATTGTGGATTAATCACCTTCTCGCACAATAAAATTTAAGGATGACAATTTGATAAAAAAAATTCAAGCCACTGCCCAAAAGAGGCTACACAGGGCAAGCGAGACACTCCAGCCCTCTGATTATTTAGTTATTTTTTAAAAAATAAAATTTTGTTTAAAATCATTTTAGCCCATCTTTTATATCGATTACTTAAAGTTCATTAGTCTAATTTTCAAATAATCCTAAAATTTATAAGAAAAAATAAAAATAATAAAAGTTATGAAGGGAACCATAAATTGTTTGATTCATTGTTGCCACCCATAATTGCATTGTTTGAGACTTGGTGGGCGTTTGATGGAGATTAAAATTAGATTTTTAGTAGATTGTGATATAAGTTTTTAAAATGTGTGGTTGAAAAGTCGCGGGACCTATAAAAGATGTGGTTAATATTGATTGTTTGACTTTGACTTAAATTAAAATTTGATTTTAATCCGAAACAAACGAAATCTTAATATTTGAGGAAAATGAATTTTGTAACAGCGATTTTTTATTTTTTATTTAAAAAATGTGTGATTAAAAAGTATATAAAAGCTTTGAATTTACATATAAATTATTTTATTGAAAGAATGTGTGATTGAATATTAGTTTGAAAAAAAAATAACTATTTCGAAAAGATTTTCATTGAAAAACCTCATCGGACCCAATGCAAAACCACGGTAATTCAAGTATACGACAAATAATTTTCTGACAGAGATGCAAATTCGAAATGTTCCATCAAACTTCAATATCAAATCCCAATTTCAAAATCTTTTTGATAATTTCTTGCTTTGCATGACCAAAGGTCCAAAGCACAGTAAAATCAAGATTCGTTTGCATCACAATTCACAAATAACGTAATGTAATTGTGTTTTTCGGTAAGTCCACTGCTCTGCTCTCTTTCTTGTCTCGCCCTTTTCTTCACCTCTGTGCCATTTTGTTTTCTTCTTTCAGCTTTTCTTGTCCTTTTATTATCAACCTCCTTCGATTCTGCACTTTCTGGCAAACGTTTTGCTTTCGTTCTAGATATTCTAATCTGGGTTTTCTTTTCTATTTCTTTTGGTACGAGTTTCTTTAACTGAATAGATTGTTGGGCTATAATCTGATCGAACCCACCTTCTTTATCTTTTGGTAATTGCTATTTTATATGATGCTTTTATGGTTCTGATTCATGTATTTAACATTATTTTTGTGCATCAGCATCATCGGAATGATCGCAAAGTCTGTTTTCTAGCTAAATGTTAAAGGGGTATTCTCTAAAGTTCACAAGTTGTATGGTTTTTTCAGGAGCTCTAAATCAGAGAAAGGTGACTTTTTGAATACAAGAAAGTGGGAGATTTCCTTTTGTTGTTTCTGGGCAAATATGTTGTGTGCTTGTTCAGGAGAGCAGTTCAAGTTTGAAGAACCACAGTCGCCTGAATCACTGGCCACAAGAGATTTCTCTGCAAGTGGCCTTTCTTCAATAACTGGAAATTTGGACTGGGAATCCAAACTTGAAGATGCTCAAGTGGATGAAGCTGAATCCACATTGAAAGAGGCACTTTCCTTGAATTATGAGGTACACTAAATATACGTCGTGTTCTTAACTCTTATACTCGAGAAATGAATTCGTAGAATGCAAAATTTTGCTGATAAAACTGGTTTTTAATGTCGTAGGAAGCTAGAGCATTGCTGGGGAGGCTTGAATACCAGAGGGGTAATTTTGATGCTGCCCTTCAAGTGTTTCAAGGGATTGACATTAGGACTTTATCGTCAAGGATGTCGAGTGCTATTGCTGAGAGAACTCAATCACGAAAGCGTTCCAAAGGGGAAAATGTACTTGCGGCTGGGATGTCACTGCACTCAGTGAGTCTACTTCTCGAAGCAATTCTACTTAAAGCGAAATCATTGGAGGAGCTTGGCCGAGTCAAAGGTATCAAATTCAAAAACTTTCCATTTAACTGATTTTGATAGTAAAACAAAAAAGGGATTATAGATTCATATGCTTTAATCAAATCATTTTTTACGTATAAACCCTAGGTAAAACTCCATGCTAAAACTAGAGAAAATAACAAAATAGCGGAAGCATAAACATACCTTGATCCATATTGTTTGATTGTTGGCCTGAATGGGTTATGATCTTCCAATTGATTGATGTTGTTCTTTTCAATTTCACTCTCTGTTAATGGGGATGTAGAGAATCTCAAGAACACCATCAAATGGCGACCATAACCATATAAAATAATAGTAACTGAATAGTCATTATCTTTCAGTTGTTTCAAATTGGCCCCTCATCAATTTAAAACAATATTCCGATCTCTACACTATATTTTCATGAAACCTAATTCCCATTAATCAAAATTAACTTTAATGGATCACTTTAATTGACTAATATTCTTTAAACAATAGCAGCACACATTTCAATATATTACATGCGTGGCCCCATATGTTGGAATTTTCCAACAATCTCCCACTGGACCATACATGTAACCTCACAAATGTGTACAACCTTATGAGCTCAAAATTTTACTATCATTATCATGGGTATTACCAAACAATCTCGTCCATTAGTCATATTGATATAGGATCAAAGCGATTTTCGTCACATTTAACGTGACTAAATCCATCGATGGTCACATACACCCATATAACTAAATGACATAGATCAATCATGGGAGCGTAGCATGAAAATTACATGTTATGTGATCCAAACATGTCTATTTCCAACTGGTCTAATCTTATTTTTAAGTGAGATCAATACTGAAACTTTAATAAGAGTGAACATTGAATTGAATACTTTATTTCTAATGTGTCTAAAATAGACAACATTCAAATACAAACTCCTACTAAACTGGCATATCATCAAAAGATGCAACACCCATTTGAGTATTATGCTCATTAAATATCTTGGGTGGCAGCCATTTAGTAAAATGATCCATGATTATGGAGTTTGTCCTAATATGCTTTCTAGAAATCTAACCACTCTGATTTCTTTCCTTGACAACTAGGAACTTAATGTCTATAAACTTTGACATCATCAGGTTCCTGTTGGAATACAAGACTGCTATTGTCAAAATGGTCTTTCAAATCCATCCAAAATATGCAGCCTTATGACAATATTTTGCAATCATGTTCCATGATCAGAATCAGAATATCCAATGATCTCCAATTGGTCTGATTTTCCTAAATGTGATCATTTAATCCTTAGTTCTCTATAGATACTGAATAACCTCATGTCTGCTTTCCAAATTTCCATCCCCGAGTTAATTAAATATATGCCTAGCATTCCAACAGTGAATGCTATATCTGGATGTGTATAAACCTGAGTATACATTAAATTCTCAATTGCTGAAGCATAGAGAATTTCACGTATTCTTTTTTCTTTAAATTTATCCTGAGGCATTTATTGAGATCAAATTTGTCTCACTTAGCAATAGGGGTAGCACCTGAATTCCATATCTGCATTCCAAATCTTTTAAGAACCTTATCGATACAACTCTTTTGTGGTAATCCAAAAATACAACAAGAACGATTCTTCAGTATCTATATCCTTAATACAAAAGAGGTATCACCAAGATTTTTTATTTCAAAATTCCATGATAGAAATTTCTTGATTTCGCGCAATAAGTTTATATCATTGCAGACAAGTTGTATGTGTATGTCATCGACATACAATACCAAAAACATGCTTACTCCCACTGAACTTGTGATATCCACAATCATCAACTGAATTTATCTCAAAATCAAATGAGATAATTATTTGATAAAACTTGTGATACCATTTCGAGAAAACAGCTTAAGCCATAGATGAATTTCTTTAATTTGTAAACTATCTGATGTAATCTTAAGATCAAAATGTGTCACAAATGCCACAATTGTTCTAAAAGAGTCTTTCATAGAATCTGGAGAAAAAATCTCTTTAATGACAATGTTTTCCTTTTGAGTAAAGTCATTTCAACAAGACGAGCATCATAACTTTCCACATTACCCTTCGAATCCCTCTTGATTTTAAATATCAAATTACAACCAATGTGTTTCGCACCTTCAGGCAATATGATGAGTTCCTAAATGTCATTGTTATTTATGAACTTTATTTCTTTATGCATGACATCAATCCACTCTTTAGAATTATTCATTTGCATGGTTTTATGAAAGTTGATTGATCAATTCTTCTTTCGTCAATCCACGTCATCCTCATGTTTTTGGAAAAAGATTATAAAGCCATTCAGAATTGTCTTACTCCCTTTTATAGTGGATTTCCTTAATGACATTTGTTTTTGAGGTTGTTGAATTTGTTTTTCTGGAACAATCTCTTAATTGTGTATAGGAGATTTTGTACTGTAGTTTTGATCCGAAATTGTGTCTTGAACAAGATCTGGAGCAAAGAATTTGTCATTGTCAATTGCAACAGAAGAAATATATACATATTCTCTACACTATATTTCCATGAAACCTAATACCCATTAGTCAAAATTAACTTTAATGGATCACTTTAATTGACTAATATTTTTTAAACAATAGCACCACACATTTTAGTATATTACATGTGTGGCCCCATATGTTGGAATTTTCCAACAGATTTTTGTAAAGCTCTCGAGGTAGCATGAATTTGGATCTAGGGAAGCCCCATTTCAGAGTCGTTTGATGTGTATGGATAATATATTATGGCTCTGATAATCTATTTTCGGATTACTGATTCACCAGAGGCAGCAAGGGAGTGTAAAATGATTTTGGATATAGTTGAATCAGCTTTTCCTTATGGTATACGAGAGAGTATTAATGAAGACTTGAAGTTGCTTGAGATGTTTCACAAAGCGCTCGAGTTGCTTCCCAAGCTATGGATACAATCCGGCTTTCTAGACGAAGCTATTACTGCCTACCGTAGGGCTCTAGTCAAGCCATGGTATATGGACGCCCAAAGATTGGCTAAAGTACAGAAGGACTTGGCTACCCTGCTTCTCTATGGAGGTGTTGAAGCTAGCCTTCCTTCTCAATTTAAAGCATGGGGACTGGCATTTCCAACAAACAATATGGAGGAATCAATCCTTTTGCTGTTTATCCTCGCGCAGAAGATCCTATATGGTGAAATAGAGTGGGATCCAGAAGTTACGGACCATTTGACTTTTGCACTCACAATCTCTGGGCAATTCGAATCTTTGGCAGATCACGTAGAGCAAATTCTTCCCGGTATATATAATCGTGCTGAGAGGTGGTACTTTCTTGCACTTTGCTACTGTGCTGCAGGTCAGTATGAAACAGCGCTGAACCTTTTAAAGAAAGTAGCGGGTTCTTCAGAAGGAAAATGCAAACCTCACCAGGCCTCATTCTTGCTAGGAGCAAAATTATGTGCTGAAGATCCAAAGCAAGCTCGTCAAGGAATGGATTTTGCACGGAAAGTGATTGATGTTTCAATAAACCAAAATGAACACTTATTAGGCCAAGCTCACGAGTTTCTTGGAGTCTGCTATGGAAATGCAGCAAGGATGTCCATTTCGGATTCCAAGAGAATTTCATTTCATAGTGAATCATTGAACTGGTTAAACCATGCTTCTTCTATTGACACAAAGGATCCAGAGATCAAGTTTAACCTTGCGTTAGAAAATGCCATTCAAAGGAACTTGGCTCCGGCCTTCGATAACACAATGCTGTATTCAGACATGATGGCCGCAAGTTCAGAAAGAGGTTGGAAACTACTGGCTCTAATCTTATCTGCTGAGCAGAGATTGAAAGATGCTGAAGCCATTGTTGATCTTGCCTTAGATGAAAGTGGAAGTATTCACCAACTGGAACTTCTTAGGTTGAAAGCTGTCCTTCAGATAGCTCAAAAACAGCCGAAGCAAGCCCTAGAGACCTATCGGATACTGCTAATCTTGATTCAAGCACAAAGAGAACGTTGTGAAAAGAACACAAATTATGAGGTGCGTGTACTTTATCCATATGTTCAGACTATAATATATCCACAGCAATTTTTGTTATAACGATTATGTCTCTGAATTTTCCCTCTTCAATTGCAGGCACTAGCAGAAAGAAAATTGGAAGTAGAAGCGTGGTTAGATTTGGCAGGACTTTATTCCGACCTGAAATCATGGCACGATGCAGCCATTTGTATAGACAAAGCCAAGTTAACTGAAATGTACTCCCATCGTTGTTGGCACACAACAGGTTGGACATGCATTCCCATTCCTCCAGTTAATCAATTATATGTTCTTCCTCAATTACCTTACGTATTTTCCTGAACTCGTGCAGCAAAACTTTTCGAAGTTCAATCACAGTACAAGGAAGCAGTCATTGCTTTATCAGTTTCATTGTCAATAGAACCAGATTACGTCCCAAGTATTGTTTCAAGTGCTGAAGTATTGTTAAAAATGGGCAACCAGTCGGTCCCTGCAGCAAGAAGTTTATTGATGAATGCACTGCGTTTAGAACCCACAAACCACGATGCATGGTTCAACCTCGGATTGATTTATAAGAAGGAAGGTTCGATCCAGCAAGCAGCAGACTGTTTGCAAGCTGCTCATGAGCTCAAACTTTCTGCTCCAGTTCAAAGCTTCAAATGACAGGAACTTCCCTGATTTCGACCCAAAAAGTTCAATAATATGGCAGACATTACTTGTTATATGAGCAGCAGGATACCTCAGCAGATTCAAGAACAGGTTGTTTGATTGGCATTCTTTCTTAGCTGAACTACAGGTTGTATATTTTGTAAATGTGACTATCGATTGAAGGAATGGAACCAATTTGAAGGGAAAGGCATTTTACATAGGAGCATTTGCCACTACACTTTAGTGATTCACATAAATCAAACTGTTATTTAGATCCATATTTCATATGATCAAGAAAGGTCTCCCAAGTTGTGTTCATAAGAGAGAAGATATCAGATCCCAATTCAGTATCAATCTCAATTCAGTCACTGAACTTCCTTGAAAATCTCGATAAAACTTTTTAATTGATAATATTTGCAATCCATTTGATTCTTTTTAATTTCACTGATTTTCCTCTTGTACTATTATTGAAGCATAATAAATTTGGATGGTTACTATTTGAGTGTTAAAAGAATTTTATTCTCTATAAACTTAAAATAGACCATATTCGTAATTCCATGAGAATCAATGTTACATCCAATAGAAGATTCAATTAAAATAAACATCGAGCATGAAGCAATGATACATTATCTTCAAATCTGATTGAGCAAACAAAGTTTGGCAATAATACTTTATTTATTGACATATGACATCTTTAGTTTAAGAAATTCTGCCAGGGAAACAATATATGTTTCTTAAATGGCCTCCAGATTGACATTTTGATCAAAAGGAGGGTACAAATAAGAAACCATTATTCTCCAACGAAGTAGAAATATAATGTAATTTCAAGAATGCACGATTCGACTGTACACAGATAACACCACGCAGGGAAGAACACTAAGTTCTATATAAAACATCCAGTCTTATTTTCAGTTCTTTGCAACCAGAATCCAGTTTATCATGAGAAAACCTAAACTACAGAAGCTTTTACTCCAGGTAGAAGGATTGATGAGACTATTCTTGTTCTTCATGAAATCTGCAGTGCAAGAACGATTAATTTCAAAAGAACCATCCACTACATGCTGCCGTGTCTTGTGTACAGCGACTAAATAAGCAATATTATAAGAACTACATGCTACATGTTTTAAAAGGCTTGATCAGGTACTGAGGCACAAGACTGGAAAGTTTTGGTAAGACAACTGTAACCTTACTTTCTTGAGCGATGCAAGCATGCTAGACCCCAAAAAAAAAAAAAAAAAAAAA